TGACCTGTTATTTTTGTTAATCTTTGACTGTTTTATATTATATATCCAAAAACTTTCCATGGGTAAATATTAAGACTTTCAGATATGGACCTGGGTCAATTACATCCTAGACTTTTTTATTTTCCCGTTTTCTTTTTCAGGTTTCAAGTCAAAATTTTATCATCATTAGAACAAAATATGAATGTTATATACATTGATCAGATAAAGAAATATATATGTATATGATTTAACCTGTTACTTAGTCCTTTTGATTGAAATATTTGTTCTCATTATCGAAAATTTTTTTCTTTTGATATTCTTGGAACTTAATCCTTTCATTTTATAAGTAATACTCACTTATTTTTCTTCTATTGTCCCCCCGACTCTCTCTCTCGGTCTGTTTTTACTGAGCTCTTAATTTTATTATTCCATTAATGTAGAAAAGGCTTAGTTACCATGCTTTTTGTTCAGGTCATTAATTTATTTTCTCTTTCAAGTTAAGTGCATATTACTTAAGAAATGAAGTAACGAAAAATCTCATTCAACATTGAATTAACCTACTTAGTTGACAGTTATATTTAAAATGGTGGTATGCATGTATATGGTTTCATGAAACTTGACATTTATTACCAGGAAGAATATGATGAAGAAAAACTGAAGAACATTTTAAAATATAAAGTTTCTAAGACATTATGTACTGTAGGTATTATACTGGATAGCATCAGTGCAACTTCTTGTGCATGTGGAGCATTTTCTTCTTCATGTCCAGAGTATAACAGAAGCTAGTCGTTGTTGTCCAACCTGCTTTCAATGTTTCACTGATTTCTAGTACCTTCAGGTTGTACCTCTTGAATTCGGCAGCAATTTGGCTCTTCTGATCTCCCACATTGTACGAGCATTCCTAAACCTGTAAAAGTTGTTTCTCTGGTTGTTAAAAGGAGCATCGGCCTTATGACTTCCGAAGGAACTAGGCTTTCATCATGAGGCGTCATAACTCTTTTAAATGAAGACCTAACTCCCAGAGCAAAGTTTAAATGGTTTGAATTATTTTTTCCGGTTAGCGTTTTGTGATAATTGGGAGTATTTGAATTATAGTACTAAATAAGAATCCCAGAAATAACGCGACTGGACCATTAAGTACTAGATAAGAACGAATGAATGTACTGTATTTGGAATTCGAAGCCAAGCATTTAACAAGTACAAGGGAATCATTAGTTCATTCAAACACCACACGTTTTTTAGCCAGTTAGTTTTCTACGGGATGGGGTCGCTAACCCCATGCCCAATCTTCCTCCTTTATCCAGGCTTGGGACCTGCAGTAGTCCCAGGCCAAAGGAAAAGATGAAGACCAAAGAACAGATTACGCCGAGAAATGGAGACAGACATGAGGAGAATGAACAACAATTGGATAGGACTAGAAAGGAAGGCCCAGAACAGAGTGGGTTGGAGAACGCTGGTCAGCGGCTTATTCTCAATTGGGAGTAACAGACGTAAGGTATTATACTAGAACGAATCAAACGTAACTAATAGATTAAATAATTTCAATAAAATTCAGTCGTATACTTATTAATTTAACAGGAATTTTTAAGTTTTGAAGGACTCTGTTTGAAATTTCACATGATCGATTTAAAACAGTAAAAGAACTATTGTGATACTTTACCAATGTCATTAAAATATTTCAAATGACTTTTTTTATACTTTAAGCTTCATTAATCAAGTTATAGATACTTTTTCTCTAAAGAATGGTTTAATTTAAGAACTGAAAAGCACTAAACATTCATTCATATAATCTTTAATGAACTTTCTATGGTGAGTATGGTTAAACCTCTATTACTACTCGTAGGTAATCGATCTTTAGCTTTCCCATTTACACTTGATATGTCAGTGTTACTTTAATGAAATATGTTCATTTCAAAAAAATTTCCTACTAATTAAGGTGATTAGTTAACCGATTTAAAAACTAATCCTGTGTATCAAAATCAAACCGTACAACCTTACTTGTACTAGCACTGTTACATTTTTGTTGACTGAAAGCTTAACTAACTACTTACATTAATCCCACAATTGTAAGCATATTATTTTCATGTTTAATTTCCTTCAGTTGCTCATCCCTTACCTTAATCATTTTACAATGATTTGGAAAAGTAATACTTAGTTAATATGGCTTACCATTTAACCGTTCATTTTCTTGTTAGATTTTTCAGTTGGATGTATAGTACATTTACGACAATAGGTGAAAATATTTATACTGAATAAATATGTCACTAGTAATCTAGTGTGGGTCTTTCTTTCTCCCTTTTGTTTCATCCCTAAACTATTTTATTGCAGTCACTAAACTTACTACATATACACTGATTAAAAGTTAGTTTTGATTTAAAATTAAGAAAAAAAGGGTTTCTCATTCTATTTTACTATTTTCTTATTTGTTCGTTTTCATTTTCCCAATCTAGTCTCCTCCTTCTCTTAAAAACACACATTCATTTGTTTATTATTTCTATTGTTGTGTTTGCCAGTTAGTAATATGAATTCCCAATGTTTAATCTAATGAATCTTTTATGCCAGCAGGAGGAATGATTAAAATATACCTGAGACGTCAATCAACAAGGGAAATAAATTTCCTGTCTATTTCTCTGGACGATTACATGGAAAATATACATACTAATCACTAAATATTATGATTACATGTTTTAGAATCAGCTTAGTAACAAATCACGTGTTGATTGTAATGATAATCATTGTGGTAAATATGCATTTAAACACAAAGTAGGACAACTAGTGTTTAAAATTTCCTAAGTAGTAACCCGCGTGGGGGAAATGAACATTGTAACACTGTTGTTTAAAGTAATCACAAGATATTACATTTTATCAAATAGATTTTAGGAATTATAGGGCGAAATATGTATGGATAGGAATACTTTATTCCCCCATACATATGAGCATCTTATGATTTATCATTTGATGGTACTCAATTAGAGTTTAGTTAATATTTCGAAGGTTAAATAATATTACCGACATAAGTTACCTTTTACTAATACACTTTTGTTTACTTTACACTGAAATAGATGTTTATTATAAAGAAGTATAAATTGAATTGCCATAATAATGCACTTCATGTATTCCAACAGGAAGCAGCCTATACTTCGTAAGCGACAAAACTATTTCGGTGGAGTTTTGTTCTCTGGCTATGGTTTGAAATAGTCAAACAATAATAGGTTTTGAAAAGAGCAAGAAGAAACATTCTAGCGGAATGCTTGTTCTTGCTCTTTTCAAAATGATTAAGTGAACTATGGTATGAAATAATAAGTCTGCTTAATCTTTTTCACGAAAGTGTCTCCTTAATTTAAAACACGTCTTTAAACTACGCAGAAAACCCTCAGTTAATTAAGATAGTATGCACTACATTATGGATTCATGGTTCTTCTTCCTTCAGATCCCATGCCGGATATATTAGTTGTCCTATTTAATATTCAGAATTTCAATTACAATTACATCTTTACATATTCTAAGAAGTTCTCCTGATTCATAAGTTTGTCCTAATGCACTACACACAACTACTTATCCTGTTTATATTACACCTCACCAATTTCAAGTTATGATTGGTCTCAAGTGAATAGAACGAATATCTGTTTCCCAGTAGAATGTTTATAATTACTACTTTTCTGGTTGAATATATCAATCTCAACTACTTGCGCTATTTATCATAATTACATTACAGCTACTGATATTAAAGTATCACTGGGTGAGTGGCATAAACTGTTCTGAGTGCTGTCTAACAAAGGAGTACACATAGGTATAAAATACATAAAGGGAATTGTTTTTAAATTTACATGATAAAGTTTGTTAGTGACATAGCTAGTTTTATTTCCGGATGTTCACAGAAAGCCCCACCTTAAAAACATCTTACTGACATTCAAACTGATCGAAACAATATACCGGCTTAATCCACAATGAATTTTACCAAAAGCAAATTATATTTTATTCAACGCCAAAAACAAAGTTTCTTGACAGTCCATCAATCCCAAAGAAAAATATGTCAACATACTGTACCATTGTACGTCAGTCTGATATATTTAATTCTTCAATTTAACAATAACATATGGACGTGCAACTCTTCTAGGGTTTCTGCCGGTCCCAAGCCCGGGTAAAAAAGCGGGTTAGGTATTGGGTTGGAAACCCCATCCCGTAGAAAGCAACCTTGCTAAAATAACGCCAACCAGAACAAACAATTTAAAACAAGTGAGGGGGTAACAGGAGTAAGCCAGTAAGCTTGTGATCAGCTTTTGGAACTCATTCTAAATCATCTCTTTATATGAATTACTTCACCTGTAAATTTTCTAGACTCTGGAATAACCTACCACAATTTATCCGCACGATAAAATCACTCCCATTATTTGTTCGCTGCATCGATGCATACTGCTCCTCTGAAAATGAATTGAATGGTCTAGCGCCTTTAAGTGTATCTCATTCCACAAGTGATATTTTAGGAACCTTAAATGTTTAGCCATCTTTATTGGTTAATTCCCTAAGTAAAACCACCCACTTGCTGTCAATATGTTAACACCGCCCCTAGCAAGTTTAACTAATTCGAATAACATAAACAGTATATCACTGTGTTACATGACACACGCATTTAGGTAGACCTTATTGGCATATTTTGGTAATTACTGCTTTGTTTTTCCGTGCTCTGTGTTTTCGTTTTAATTTCTCTAGTTGTAGATAATTATCATTAATTCGATCTGGCACACGAATTGACCTTAAGATATGGATCTGATATCTGGTTAAATAATGTCAGAGGACATTTCTAGTGAATTCGTTAGGAATATTTATCATTCAGTAAAGAATAACCATGTTCAACGCTCATTAGTGATTTTCAGTCTACGGTGTAAATGATATTTTAGTATGAAGGGTAAACAATTTTAGAGTGATTCGGTTGATGTATAACAGATTAAATGTTTACTTTATAGTACATTTGACGTCGTTTACAATAAAGAAGCTGAGATGGTAAAAGCAGAAAACTAAATTGATCTTGGAAATTTTTATTAAATAATAACAACTTAACTATTTAAAGTCCTTTGACCATGAATATATATATATATTGACAGTAATTTTGTGTTATTAGGATTTTGTAAACTATACTATCTTTTAAGTTACATTCATTAAGGTAACGCTGCATTTATCCAATTTATTTCCATATCTCAACACAATTAATAGTATGTACTCAATACTCACCTACTTTTAAGCAGTTACATCTTAACTATATCTACGAATAACGTTTACTATAAAATTTGTTTTGTACCTTCCAACCTTATTTACCTCTACCTCACTGTTTTGTAGTCACTATACTTATTAATGTTCAGCAGTTGATTTCGCTTTCAATAATTTTAGAAGTCAAATGTTAGTTAATCACACAGCACCAATAATACATGCTTATTCACCAGGTACTTGGGTATGTACTACACCCTAAATATGAGGGGTAATGATACTAGCCTGTTTCCTAAATCGAAGTAGGTGTATTTGAACTCAAACCTGGAACTTAGTGGTGGATGTCGGACGTCTTAGCCGCTGACCCTACATCCCAATGAACTGCTGATCCCAAGTATTTTTATTATCACTAATTCGTTATCGTACTTGTAATGGTATTTATTCTGAGACTACTGTTCAGTGTCGATAGTTTATATTACTTAACGAAGCTGTTCAAGTTTTTGAAGCCGTAGCAGCTCAAATGGCTCAGTGATAGCATCTCACTGTGAAGCTAGGTGAGGCGGGTTCTAATACCCCAGAAAGCATCAGTTCTCACAAGATTGCAGGTATACCTTGTTAACGAGCATAGAATATTACCAAACCTAGGTTCAAGGTTTCTTGTGGACGACCTACTTCAACTATTTATCATTATTTTCTTACTAATTGCTAGCGAGCGTTTAATACAATATTATGATATTCTACGGGTTCTAGTGCGTATCCTAAATTTCTTATCCACTTACTTCGAAGGAGGTACGTTCTATTTGGCTGCAGTTTGATAGTGTGACAGACGTTTGGATACATCACGATTCGAATTTCGTAAACCCTGACTGATCATGCTATTTTCATTAGTGGCTTTGTATCCAAGAAAAGAAATTGGATTAGAGTCGTCAAACGGGTTTAGAAATTATAAAATACAATTATTCAAATAATGTACATGTACGATAATTTGCAGAAAGTTATCACTTAACGCACCCACAAAGTGCGATTCAACCGATCATCAGACGTTTTCGACCACGAAGTCGAACGTCCTCCAATTTGTTTAAAATTTCTTTGACTTCGTGATCTTGTTTTTCCAAATGACCACCTGATTTTGCATTATCATGTTTAGACTTTATCTGTTGATCATCCAGTATTGTCGATACATAATTATCCCGGTAGGACTTTATAATTAAATTCAGAAGCGATTCTGGAGTATTTAAATCGGCGTGGTCAGTGGTAATTTTTGACAGGGCTTTGTGATCAAGGCCACAGGTTAAGGCCCGTTCAAACACATACAGATCTACAGCTTTATCTTCTGCTAAACGTTGTGAGGTTAATCCAGAAGAAGAGCTTGAAAGTCCAAAATCTATAGGAACGACTCGAAAATCGGATTCTTTGTTACAATTATCTACCTGAAATTATGGAGAAGTGTTGAATTAAGGAGGTTAGTATTAAAAAGTGTGATTTAACATCTTCATTGCTCAAGTGATGATACAGAGCAAGGAATGAATCAAATAACAATAATTTTCTAAATTTATATCCTACGACTCCATGATGTAATAATTTACTGATAGTGTTACATTTGGTAAGCATTTAGCTACCACTATATCAAAATCGAATTTCATAAGTAAATCAGAATGTTGAAACTGAACTAGTGATATACCTCTTACCGGTCTCATCAGTTTCTTCTTTTTTAAGTTCGTTTAAAGGTAGAAAGCGATCGTAAGTATAGGATTTTACTTCTGGAATTTGTTTCAATTGCGTTAACATGTTCAAAGCATGAAGATTAGACATAGCTGTATTTTTGACACCCGTGATTTCTGTATCCTTAGTTTCAGAGCAGTCGATCAAAAATCATTCTGTGACAATCATCAACAACTATTATTTATTTTTATATTTAAACATTGTTATGGCTGGTCGTCGCTAATTGTTACGTTGAAATCACTTTGTACTTATACTTTTAAAACAAAGAACCACTGCAATTCCGCCGACGCAAAGTAAGAGTACTAAGACTGTTACAAGCAAAGATTTGTTAACCACAAAACACGACGACCCTAGTCGAATACACTCATTTGTATGTTAATTGTACACTAATTTTGACCATGAATTATGATGAAATCACACATAAATGTTCATACAAAGGGATTTCGAAATAGATATGCACCAAACAAAGTAGTTATCATTAAATGTTTATGTGGGCTAGGATACTTCCCAGGTGCCCAAACATAGACAAATGGTTTTCTTAAGGGGCCAATCCCCAAGCCTTTGACACAGAGGTCTAATCCACAAGGCAGTGAAGCGACGTTAGGAGATGCAGTCCAATAGTAACCGGTGACCAACAATAGGTTCATATTACAATTGTCCCCTCAAAGTCCTTAACCCCATGTGCATCACTGGTTCAGGATCAGGGTTTTCCAACCCCTCTAAGTTGGTCCTCCGTACCCATCAATTTGGTTAAAGCGCCCCTGTCACGAGAAAGCAGTCAGTAGAACTTCTCTGCGATTGGCTATATATGCGTGGTCATATGAAAGTTTTGAGGACAGCGAATCCTCCCAACGCTCGGGCATACCAGGACATTTAGAGGCATCATCTACACCATCACTACCAGGACAAAAGATGAAACGTCGCGAACTGAGACCTACTTTCTGACAAACAAAACACCATTGTCAATGAGATACAAAACTTATGTTATGAGTATTTGTAAGTAAAATATTACTAATTTGTTATCCTAAGTGATGAAGTGTCTGTGAACACACCAGTAATCTATCCGTAAAATACCTGATTTTGTTTTTTAACCAATGCATGGATGGAATCGGTGTACAGAATTACATATGATCCGAAATATATACAACACTTGATTTTTAGTAATGCAGTTACTCAAGCAAATGACAAATCATAATTGAACTAAAAGAACAATATTATAAAAGTTTGCAAAAAAATACCTGTTGAACCAGAATATTGGACATAGTCAAATCACCATGTATTATATGGTTAGAATGTAGCTGAGCAAGTAGTCGACCTAATGCCGTTGTTAAATTTCGCAATCGTGAAGCTGTTTTCTCCTGGATATCCATGGTACATAAATCTGATGCAGTTGCTAGAGAAGATAAGTTTTTAAACCAGTCTTGAAGTGTGACAGCATCTGGACCAACTTCACCGAGCCAAATCCGACGTCGTCGAACATCAACCAGAAGGACTGGAGGGACATCTATTCCTACTTCTCTACAACGCAACATCTGTCTGACTTCAGCTCGCATTCGCTGCATTGACAAAGTGGCATCCAATGTACTATGACGATAACGTTTGACGAATCTTTCTTTAACAATACATGGAAAAGTATATGTTGAATGGAACAACTTAGTGCGATAGATTCGTGCTTCTGCTCCTTGCCTGACTAAAGTCTCAAGTGACAAGGCATTTAGAACTGAGTCAGACAGTAGATCTGGAAGCAAATCTGGATTAGACATGTAATATTCTGCAAGAAAAATAAAAAAAGGATGAACTACGCACAGTTGCATCTCGGGAAGCTTTCTTTTATTTGATTTCAATTTCTCTAATCTAATCGCAGCTTTCAGATGAAAATTTATCGATTCATGTATATTTATACGTACTTTCTTGGACCGATGTCTTGACGTACTTGGTTTTAGAAATGACTGTTTATTTGCAAAGATAAATATCATGATGCACAGAAAAAAGGTAATCCTTAATTTTAATACATTTTCATTTTTATACTTCATGAGAATGTTCATTATACTGGCAAAAACATGAAATCACTTTTGAACTTAACTAAACGGGACTCTACCGTAACGCACGAGAAAAAGCTTCATATGACGCGATAATCACTCTCCAACTATTGTACCAGTTATTCCTTCTGAAGTTAAATAACCATTAACATTGTGAAATACTGGATACACAAGCTAAATTACGTACTGAAAGATCATTCTAAGTGAAATTTCCTAAAGTTAATCAGATCTACGTTACGTATTGAAGCTTATTTTAATATAAGAATAGTTTCTGCTTATAACTATGCTTTTATGAGTTAGCTCACATTAAGCTTACATCAACCCTATGGAGTCAGTAAAAGTAATGTGATCACAACAGCGAGTAACATGATATCCGAGGAATTGACCCAAGACACAGATAATGCAAATAAAAATCATTTATCAGAACCATGTTATATATTAGTCCAATACACTCAAAACCAGCAAATATCTAATCAAATTGTTCGAAGTGTATTACACACATATATTACATAGTTCCGATGAACTTTATCTTCTCATTTTGTCGCCTAAATTTATCAAAGGGACTGTTTCAAAATGTAGACAAGATAGCCGAAAGCTCCCAAGATGTCACGTAAAACAGAAAGTTTTGAATTGACTGTTATTTTTTGCTTATTTTTAATCACTAGATAGCATACTTGTTACTCAATGGTACCTGCAAAATATTACAAAAAGAATTATTGATGTCAGTAGTCATGGGATAAAAATTTTACGTTTGTCGTAAATCAGTCCGATTGGAAAAGTCCATCATCAATTTGTTGTCTTTAACGCGACATTAGTATCCGTTATTCATCTCATATTAGTTAGCAGGGTAATTCTCAAGTGATTTATATATATATATATATATATATATATATTACTTTCACGAAAACCGAGATCACCGTAAAAACTAATTGAATAGTTAACAAATTAAAAAGATATTAAAATTAGTTTACAAAAAAGTATTCAACGATATAACTGAATATTGTTAACTGAAGCAACATAGATCAATCCACATCACAAAAGGAAATCCATGGTGAATGTAATAAATAACACATTTTTGTTAGCAGATATATATTTTATCTAGTATAAAGACAATACAAATGTGAAAAGTTAAATGAATAAAGCATATAGAACGTAAATAATCATTGATAATATGAATATTCAGAAGATTAATATATTACGAGGAAAATGCTTGTGTTGAAAGACATTACCAATCGAGAGCCTTTAGAAATTCATCTTCTGTGATTTGTAAGCACTTAGAGGCTTCGATTAGCATCTGGAAAAAGAAGCACACAACAATAATATGGACGATATAAATATGAAAGGAAAAGAATCTAATTGGCTTCAATAACACACTACAAATATTCATTTGAACAGAAAGAATTTCATGCACTAAACGACTGACATCTAAATATTTTTAGGCTATTAGAGTATAAAATAAAAAAGTCTTGCTTATTGTACAAAAAAACCATCATGAATATGAAGTTTATTCAGGTAAGGTTATCTAACCACTAGCTCAATAAAATGGACAGGTTATTGTATTACTTTTGATAACAAAGGTAAATTATCATTACATTTCAAACTCAAAATAATGGGAAAAGTGAGAGAAAATTTAAGTAAATTAGATTAGATTTGAAAAAAATTGTTCTAGAGTTCATTAAGTTTATCATAAGTTAAAACTGAGCATTAAACTCCGTAGGCTTGTGCACCATGTGATGCAAATGTATTATAACCCTTATCATTTACCCATCACTTTAAACTTGCATAAAGCCGATAACGAACCACAGCTGGATGTGCTACTTGTTGGTTGCACGAATACACAAATGACAACTTAAAGCACTGATAAATAGAGAATGATATAACACTGTGGCATACCACAATGCTTGGTAAGGCATAAGAAACTAGGTAGGAGATAAAAAAAGAACTGACAGTGGTTTCAGCAGTAAAAGATAGGAGGAAGGGGAAATTTAAACATAACAAAATATGTTCACGAAGTAAATGTTTTTATCTATTCAAATAAATAATTACACTCTTACTTTTTGTCTGCGCAATATATCGATCAATTTCATTTGCTTTTTAAATGTTGAAATTAACTCGGATTTTTGCTTTTCTAACCGCTTATTTTCAGCCATTAAATCATCCATATTATGACGCATAGATCCAACGCTCTCACGTGTAGATGAACGGACCTTCTCTAATTCAGCTTTATAACGGTCAGATTCTTCAATTGCACGATTAAGACGTGTAGTCAAAGATTTGATTTCGAGAACTTGCTGATCAGAATTACGTTTAAGTGAATCATAATCCTGTTTAAGATAAACGAAATTCAGTTGGTTTTAGTATGATGAAATAGAAGTCCAACAGGTATGTGAATGAGTACATAACAATTAAACTTCTACCTGAAATCTGTGCTTATGATATCGTTCAGAAGAACGATGAAAGCTCCACGACCAAACCATCCAGCTCAGAGAACAAAACTCCATCAAAAAGAGGTATATCGTTTTGAAGTAGTCGGGAATAAAACTTAAATAATACCTTCGAAACATTAATAAAACTGTTTAGAGTTCATGTTTGTCGTTAGGTTCATGTTAAATATTATATTTTTATTATTACTAACAGTAGTACAAATAAGGGAATTTTGTGTGTTTATATCATTATTTTTAGTTTAGATTACCTAGCGTCCGAAACCTCATAGCTAGTCACACAAACACAAACCTATTAAAAAGAAAGACTCAAGCGGAAGTTAGAAGAAAATTACAGACAATGGGGATACTACAGAACGCTGGTTACAAATAACTCCATGAATACATAAACCCAAAAAGTTATCCCCATCGAAATTCACAAATGCACACAACGTACTCATGAGTAGCTAAATATATCTGCATGAAAATTCAAAAAGACACACAAGGCTAGGTAGAATGTTTTACAAAATGAATCGATTTTGAAACCACAGAAGACGCTCCTTGATCTCATTATGCTAGCCTACGTTATGTTTGTATGTTGTTCCGAAAGAATTTCCAATCACTGCTTCAGAGTATCTAATAATACAAGAACTATTTCACTAATTAAACAAGACGTACTTTCTTCCGAAAATACACGGACCAATGAATAGATGAATAACTGAGAAAATGTTGACCTGAAAATTTTAGGCATTATCATCGCGAACCAGTACATTTTGTTTCAGTTCAAATTAGTAGCTAAGTATCAGCTTTTGAAATTGATTTTGTGTAGGTGTCAGTGATACTTTGTAGATGCCTACATTGAAAGTAGGACGAAGTTAAAACTGCCCATACAGTGGTAACAAGTTAAGCGTTTAAACGATAAAGCTGTCACTTGATATATCTACTCTAAAATTTGCCTTTTATTAGAACTATATACAAACGATATCATATAATGATGTAAAATGTATTTTAATTGATTAGTCTGCATAAGATCATAGGAAACAAAAACGAAGCAAAGCACAACTATGAAACATTAACTGGATAATAATATACCTTCTTGTAATTAGTCTTTTCTGTCTCTAGTTCATTACAGTGAACTCGTGTTTCGCCCAAGCTTTTTTTCATTTTCTCTAACTGAGATGAATGTGCAGATGTGACTCGATGTAACCGATTACGTTCTTCTTCCAGTTCTTGCATACGACTTTTCATTCGAACAATTTCATCATTCTGAAATGAAGATAGACATTTGCCCGAGAATAAAACAAAAATTAACGTAGAACAAAAGATGATAAAATTATAGAGACGAGACAAACAGAATCAAGGTGACATTTAAGCTTTTGTGGCGAATTTAAATATCACGTATAACGAACAGTAGAAATATCTTCATATTGTGCTCAGAACGTTTAATATAATAATTCAGTTTTTGCGATTATAGAGTAAGAATAATATTGCTAAACTTACCAAACACACAGTTCTTTCTCAGTAGACTGAAAGTAGCAAACAACTAGACACTATACCTAAGCTCTCAACACTTTATCCTTAAAACAACTATTAATTTACTGACATTATATTTTATGGATAAACCAATCAGATAGCAGTTATTAGATTTTTGTGAGAAATTCATTCATATCCAAATGCCTAAAAATCAGTTCTGTTTTATGGTTGATAGAAGTCCGTACTGAAAACATCTCGATCCTCACCATAAATATACAACCCTGACCAAGAAAAATGTGGGGGACTCTTAAGAATCTATTTCATTCCCTATAAGGGAATTGAAGAGACGGATAATCGAAATCCAGAAGGACGACTTTATATGTTTTTTTATTACCAGGTAGATTAACCTGTAGAAGACTTCTACAAATTCAATAAATATGTACAATCTCTTTACATTTTGTAGTATTATTGTCTTCGTTTTCATAAACTACGCACTTACAAAAGCGGTTTTCTGATAGACTAAGAATTGGTTGGAAACACGTTGCGGTTATTTAGGTCATCTCTATACCATAATCACCCGAAATATTTGCTAAATACACTCTAGTCATACCAAATAATGATTTTTGAAGAAAGTTAGGTATAGGAAACGACACTGAATATACACAAAAAGTAAAATAATCCGAGAAAATGCTATGATGCATGGTAATGAACGAACTAATATTAACAGTGATCACTAAGGTACCAAACAGATTGGCAACGTAGATAGTTGGTAACCGTATTGCTTATTTTACATGTTTGCTAGCAGTGCTATTTCTAACAGGATATAAAATTATTCAGTTAATTATAACGAATGTATAACTTGGCAAAGATGTACACCGATACAAGTTACCACGACAAATCAGAACAGCGAGAGGAATTTGAAAGTGATAGAAAGAATTCAAAAAAACAGTATGGCCAACAACAAAAGATCACACAGTTTGAAAAGAAATATTGAGCTTGTGGAGTACAAAGTATGAAATAATGTTGAAAATCAAAATCCAAGGGAAGACAAAGAATGGATGCATGTGCCTCACTGGAATTAATATTAGACGTATCACTTAAGACCTACAATCACCGAAAACGAAGTAAACTATAGGTTAACAACAGCTACGTCTATCCCTCATGTTTTGATATTTGGGCTTACATTAGAGGCAACAGTGCTTGCAAATAGATGTATTGTACAGCAATTACCAAGATCTGTTTAGGATAATCAGAATTCGTCAACCACCAACTCATCAGAGCCGGTGATGCTTTTAAAATAAGTGAGGTGGTCAACGCATCCAACTACTTTATCGAGTATGATCATTTCCGAACGATCGATGAAGCCATTGGAGAATGGTTGATCGTATGAATAGTAAGTAATGTTAGGAAGTGAAAAAGAAAGCTGATTGCGATGAATTAGAGTGCTGTTACAAGTATTATAGTTGGAATGAGCGATCTAGGTAGATGCAGACTACTTGGTTAGGGTCGGCGCAACTATCGTAACCGGTGTTTGGAGACGTTGGATGAAATGACTCAGAATTATTCGTAATGGAGCATTCACTTTTGGTCTTCTTCAGACGCTGCGTCCCATAATGTCATACTCTTTTACTCCTTACTGTACTTCATCTTTTCTACTACTAATGATACTTTTACGACCTCTATCCTGGAATTTGTCTCGCTGTGCTTATCTAATGTGACAACTTGAACCGATGCACAAATAAATAATATTCCACAGTGTATATGAGTAGCTGATCAGAGGTGAGAGGGCAGTTGTCATTTCCCAGTCGACAATATCATGGAAAGATACTTCCTTCTGAACAATTTACAAAATATCTTAAAATTCAAAATTACAGCTGACAACGGCCTATTCCCTGTCCCATTACATCTAACCAGAAAAAAAGCAAAAAATAAACACTAAATACTGTAAGTTACTAAAACAAATCAATGATAAAGGTGTAGATTATATGGGTAACTAAGGAATACTGAGATATTGGAGACCATCTGCTGATGATAATACCCAAACCAGTATTTCCACATTTTGTTTAAAGATTGACGTTTGATGGTAGGATTTAGATTATCCTGCTAGTGACATTTTAACTGAAATCTGACCAGCTTTAGTTGGTATGCACGCATCCTGTGCGAACTGCTTCGATAAAGTTATTATCGGACAAGTTTATATAGATGGACTGTAGTTAGTAGTTCAATCCAGGACAAGCATTTCGTCCTATAGGAGACACGTCCTCTGGATCCCAGAGTCAGTGCTTTTTCCGGGACTCGAACCCAGTATATTCCGCTTTAAACGCCATCGCGTTATCAATAACGGAATAACCAAAAACTATATCAACTTGAATTAAGACTCATAGTTGCTGTAAAAGTTAGTGGTTACCAGGACTCAGTAGCCAAGTGGACAACGCGATTAAGTTTTAAGCAAACGGTACTAGGTTCGAATCTTGAAGTGAAAATCAACTCTGGGATATAAGCTTACCCAGCCGACGAGCCATTAAGGGACGAAACGTGTCTTAGGTTCCACTGTTGGCCATAATCCATCTATATAAAAATGTTGGTAAGACATATTTTAAATTCGGTAGCTTTCAAGGGAAGCATAATATTTCGAAACGACTCTCTAGACAGATGCACTGCAAAAAGCTACGATTTTATACCATAAATCCAGATGATAGAAAATTAAACACCGTAACTGCACTGAAAATAAGATAAACTGGTAGGTACTGAGAAAATCCTCTTACATATAATCCAGGAAATCCCCAATATTTAGGTATGAAATAACACCTTAATCCTACGTTTATTCTCGAGGGTAGATAGTATGCACGGTATATAAAACTAAATAACATCACTGGCGCGTTGCCACATAGGTTTCGGTCGTTTCCTAATGTACCTTACTTAATACTATAAAAAGAACTTACATTCGCCTTGTCGTACCAAATTGAGTTACTTTCTAGTCGCTTAAAAGATCTAGAAATATTATACAAATATACAAATCACTCAAGTCTACATTAAACACTCTTCTAGCTATTTTAGGCTAATGATACCTGTAAAAATATAAGTATCTTAAAAATAACGATTAAACGAACTTGATGAGTCATCTGTGAATTGAGCTTTTGATTTTCTTCTAATAGTACGCGGACTTTCGCTTTCAAATACCGATTTTGAGCTTTCAGACCTAGACCTTCAGTAGGTTCTGGAAGAACATTTCGGTCGTTTATTTCATCCTTGCCTGAATAAAGCTGAAGAGTAGACAGCAAGAGAAAAAAGAGTTACAGGGAACCAAAATATATCATCAATTGGCTGTATAACACCATATTTAACGACTTGATCTATCGAAAAATCTTATTTTGATACAGGAATGTGAACTTAATTTCTATTTTATGAACTACTAAATTGATTTGGGATGAGAAGTAGGAGAAAAGATAAGGTTAAGTAAACAGGTGAACTCTTGGTAAGAGGTCAACTTAAAAACCTTTATGTCATAACAAAAATAAGAATAGTATGGGATATATGTTAAATAAGAACTTTTGATACATGTTTCGTTTATGTACAGTTCATTTTAACGTTTAAGGACATAATCGAAGTAATTAGCCACTGATTTCTACTCTGATCTGCTTGATGACACTTAAACCACTGAATTTGATGACCTTATGGTGATTAAATGAAATGTACTTGTGTTGAGTTATTATTCTTAATTCACGGATGAGTATCTACATTAAAAGAGTTACTATTCCTATTTTATCCACTGTTTCAGAGTTAGTAAATAGCGTTAGTTATGGATAATACATGAGTGAGTCACTGAAGCGTTGAGTCAGTGTAAAAAACTGTAGGGGCTGGTACTATGTTAAGCCCACATAGGTTATTCTAGCCTCTGGACAGACCAATCTATTCAATCTTCTCAAGCCACATTTTTACCCCATCGCTTATCCAATTATTAACACCGACATTTTTATATGGACGTATATGCGTCAATCACTTGTCCTAATCATTGTGTCTGTAACTTATTTTTGTCTGAATATAAATATTGAGTCATGCTTGATAGAAACGAAAGGACTGACTCACCTTTTGCACTGTACGTCATTTTGTTTTGTTTCACTTTCTCTTCTTTGTTGCCTCCACTTCGTCCATCTGGATCAACGATTGTATGAAATATACGCATTTAAAATCCATTCTCATTCCATTATTCACTAACGCGATTTAAGTCGATAATCATACACGAGGATAGCTGGAATGTATATTTCGATAACGATCGTTTGTCAAGTTTTGGGTCACTAAAAGCCATCAAGTCACATGACGTCTCTCTCCGTTCTTAAAGTTGGTGTCTGCCATACGTTAACGATTGTCCGAACAGTGTTACCTATCTAAATAGGAACTAAAACTACTAGACAGTCACTACGTCCAAATGCCCAGCTTTATAGATAAGCCAGAAACGTTTTCAGTTCAGTAGAAGAACAGGTAAGGATAACGATATTTTTTCCTTGCGAGTCCCTATTGTGTCGTCTAATGGAATGGAATTAAGATGACTATAACTGGAATTCCGTCTGTGTCATTCTACTTTCATCCTTAGTGTTATACCTACAGCAGTAAGATCGGGAGAATTCGCTACAGCGCTTTTAGATACCGATAGAGCGAAATGTGTGGGATCTTCACGATAGCTAGGCGAGGTCAGGTGGATATCCATGATCGGGTTGTGTTGTATGGATTTTAAACGGACAACAAATAAATGTAACGGGATCCAACATTCCTGCCAGTGAAACTTGTCCTATTTAAAGTTCAGATATTTAGCAAAGAGCGTAGTTTTAAAAAGCTAAGACAAATATTTTGCAGGCTTAGGTTGTTTGCATTAGCTGAGTATGCAAAAAATAACATTAGAGGACCGATAACAAACGAAAAGCGAACTTTAAGATGAAGGGAAAGAATCGACACTTGGAAGTAAAGTGAGACTATGATTTATGGACATTTGAGCGACGCTGAAGTGACTTTCAGAAGACTTACCTATTTACTAGTATCAAAAGAGATGATTTAGGATTAAGATCTGGACTTAGAATTTAAAGTTGAGGATTAAAGTAGGGGTTTTCATTGCGAAATAGCATCAGCTATATCGCCGATATGGTGTTTAACTACATGAATGAACTTTACTCCAAAATCGAAGACCTGCTGCCCTTAATGTCAATGATTCATCTGTAAATTATGTTCTCTCCGAAAATAATACTTCGTTATTCACAACTCAAGCTAGTATTTCTTTACACCATAAAAAGATAAACTAACACACAACTTAAAACAAACCTCGTGGTTAAGTTTGGGTTCGTCGACAGGAGAACTTATTCCGTTTTCAACTTCACAGTTATGTTCAGAATCTCTCTCCAGAAAGTCACTCTTTTCTGTCATAGGACTTGTGCGAAATTATAGTTTATATAAGTACCTGTAACATTCTGGATTTTGATTTCGCTGGATGTACGAGCATTCATCAATACCCTGGGCTTCCTGAGCCTAATACGTTATTTAGTAAACGACGGTAACAAACTACAAGTATTTTGCCTGCGCTTCTCAAAAGATCATTTGTTTTGGCCTCCAGCAAAGAGTTTATTTGTCTTGAAAATAAAATAGCAGTAACTTGTACCTATAGTTATATTCTTTATCCAGACATCCACTCCCAGGATTTGCTAATGCCTCACGCACCAAGGAGCTCATGAACAGCGGGGTCGCGAAGGTCAACAAAATACGTATATGTATTGCTGTATTTAAAAAATACGACGTTTTCTTTTTGAGCTCAGAGCCAACTAAAGAAGCAAAAAAGGGTGATTTTATCTTTCTGAGCATGTAGTTAGTGCTCAAAATACTCCACTATTAGAAAACAAGTTGACTATCTTAAAATACACGGAGCTTGTAATGCCTAGTACAAATCAACACTCATATGATTCATCCTAGCTTTTGTACAGACCATAATAACCCGGACAGAACGCAACATCTAGTCATTTCTACCTTCATAATAACTCTTTTCTTTTCAAGGGAAATTGTGGCCTTCCGTGTATATACATGTGTGAAGAAATAACATCACTTACAGTAGGGTTACTTTCTTCCGGGTGCTGAATTTCAGGGGATTTAGATAAGTTTATCGGCAAAGGGATAATTTTAACGTCAGAGATTTGTTCAGAATCAGCCTTGAGCTTGTGGTTTTCAAGATTCAGATGCGTCCGGTACCTTGATACTAGTGGTCTGTAAATAAGCAAAGATGAATGATGGCTAGAAGTTGAATCTAGGATGCGCGTTTAGTTCTTTTTAGACCCGTCGGCTGGATGAGCTTGTAGCTAGATGGATAGGACGATGGAGTTTGAAGAAAACGATACTGGGTTAGAGTCCCGAGTTGAACATCAACTCTGAGATGCAGGTACATCCAGCTGACGAGTCTCGAATAGGATGGACCGTGAGTACCATGTTGAACTGCTGGCCACCGTCCATTTTTGCTTATAATGTTTTTGACTTAAGGCAATTTCGAGGCATTTCGGAGTCCAAACTCACGAGAATGCAGAAAACAACCGAACTGTGTGATAATACGGAGGCTGCATTCAACCTTGACAGAATCATTTCTGCGTTATTTCGTACGCTTCTGTACACTAGTATGGCAACACATTTGGAACGTCATTCTATCAACTTCAAGACCCAGCCATGAGGTTTTCTTAGTTCCACATTTTCATTTATAATTGCTGTAAATTCCCTTCGTCATTAGACGAAAGCACATTTTATGTGCTTATTGAACCGTCAGCTCACTTATCCACTTTTTGTTTCTTCTTCTTCAAGATCCTCCCACACACAGCTCTTCACACTCTTCTGACAAATAAAACAACCTCAGACTGGATGAAGATCTAACAAAAGCTGAACACAACAGTATATCTAGTTATAGACCAAGTATTATGTTCTGATTATATGAACCACGAAGCGTGTGACTGAGAGCTCTAAAGGCACACAACTATTGAAAATCCGAGAATTCTGTATCTTTATATGACGATGGATAAATAATCACAGGAAGCCTCCCAGGATGTTCTCCAGATAACAAATCCAGATACGCGACTTTTAGCAGGGAGTTTCTGACCGGGCATTGTAACTATTTCGATACTTTGCACAACTCATTACATCTAGGTGTCTGAGTATTTCTAAGGCTTATGCGGCAACGATTTTGTAGTTCTAAAATGAATTAAGACATTAAAAAGTGGGAATACTGCCGTGTAAGTTGGTGAAATTAATAAACAACTGAACTTTGAAATTCCCCTAATTTAGCCTTCGGCTTTGATGTATGTTTTGACCGCGGTGTGACCTCTACCGCTTTATCTTCCCATATGTACTGACTAATTCACACTACTACTCCGTGTCGTAACTATGAAAACCCTTATCGCCTACACCATAAGGCACTCTCGCTAAACAATGGTTTACTGGCTTTGGTTATTCGTTGTATATTACAGCCAATAATCGATCCCAATACTGATTCCGAAAAATTGTTTGTCTATTACAAGCATAGTGGTTACATCGGGGTCTTTTTCAACTGGGAATCCATCACACTAAACAGAGTCAATATTATTTTCTACATTTGCAGTAAAATGAGATTTAACTGTAAATGCACTGCAGCTGAACACATCCGTGCAACAGCAATTTGAATTCCGGGAAGTTTGTAGAATTTTAATCATCTTAAGTGAACACAGACTTTGCCTCATAAATCAGCAATCCTACAAACCCCAAATTCTATGTCACTCCTCACGCTCTTTGAGATATATGACACAAGCCTTTGAACGCACAGTCCTCGATATAGCGTATAAAGTGTTCCACAATGTTGAAAAAAGAAACCAAAGTATTGTACCACTAAAAAGTTAAAAATGGAGAATACGAAGTCTTTCTGCTTGTAAGGAGGCCTCTTCGCAGATGATATACCCACCAAACCCAAAAAACTATGAGCACATGAATATTAAAATCAATGGCTTATTTTGGTCGCATAGCGCTATTGTTGGTTGGTCTACAAATGGTTCACCAATGTGGAGGAATAATGAAACAGCTCAGAAGCATCAAAAATAGAAGTAACTAATTTGTCGTGGTATTGATTCCCAACCACCCGATCTTGGCAGCTAAGCATATAATTACTGAGATTTACATTCCAAATGTAGTATCTAGAGGTCAAAAATGGTGGGCTCAGAAATTGTTGATTTGTGTATCATGACTCAGCCTAACAGACGTGATCATTCTCTGTAATTCATAACTTCCCACATCGAATATATTATTTTGTCCCCAGCCGAAATATGTTCAGCAGAAGTACCTCACAATCTCCTGTCTACTACCAGTGGCCTTACATCTATGGAGCTTGCAATCCATCGACCGGTTAGGATAGCACAAAATAACAGCATCAAGGTGATGTGGATTCTTTCTTGTCTAGTTTTCATCATCTTTCTGCTCTCACGTACACTATTTTGACTTACAACTGATTTTATTTCTTCACCCATTGTCCTATCCATAACTCATTTATTCCTACGCCTTTCTCCCAACTTTGGTAAACGCCTGACCTTCGTCATACCCTTCTGAATAATGATAATCATGACAGTAATAATATATCCTCAGACAACAACATTTTACATGAGGCGTACCAGTTTACAAGGAATATCAAATTGTTAAGGATACAAGTTTTACTTTAATAAGTGACTCAATTACGTCGACATATTATAGGGTACAGCGGTTATATAAACATTAAAATAATAATGTAAGACTCTAGTGTTTGATATTGGTTGGCACGCTTTGTGAAGATTGAGTTGCGACGAGCAACTGATGGTCGAAAATGTGATAGGATCATTCGGTAGGAAGTGAAACCAATTCAAGGTCACAGACACGAGCCAAAGAGGTACTTGGCATAAGGAACTGACATCAATACCATCACTTCGTGACATCCATCTTGACCATAATGAGCAGTAATTTAACAAAATGTTCCACCTTACAAACATCTAGGCTCCGTGTTGTACACCTGGTTGGAATACACTGATTTTACTAGTTCTTTGTAAAAGGCAAGTCAGATAGCTAGAGCCCCTTTATCGTGCATTGGATATAATACTGCTGTGAAGTTAAATAATGGTGTAAGAAATGATAATGACAGATAGCAAATCAAGCAATATAAAAGAAGAGTTTGGGGTTGCAAAATTTAAGAGTAAGACGATAAGTAAGTAAAAGACACAATATATGAATGCTGGTAATAATGAAAAATTTTAAACTAGTGGAAGGTGAACCAGGAAATCACAATAATTTGATACTCTGAACTTACTATGATCGACCATATGTGGGCAACACTCATAGGGTTGGTGAGTTATTAGCATACGCAGTGAACAGGTAATTCAAGAAAATATGTTAGTTACAGCATTCACATGCAATTTGAGGAATAGTATGTAAAATCTGAAGCGTAATTATGCATAAAATGTGATTAAATGGATTTTGAAGGTGCTAGATTTTGGGCACGTCAGATAGTTGATAGGACGAGCTAGTATGGACAGTGACGTGACTTCCACGTAAGATCTTATGGATTAGGCAGTCAAATCATGACGAATCTACAGTTTCGGGATTAGATCTGTTATTATTAAAACAAAGATAAATATACTAATGCCGGCCTCAATTATAAATAATTTTCGCGTGACTTTCGTATTGAATCCGATTGTAAGATTTAGGCGGTGATTAGCGTCGCTGCTGAAACGAAAATTTGCAATCAGTCAATCAAGATGTATCACAAAGCTAAGCTGGATTATTCACAGTGTATATACTTTGATGTCGGTCAATGATATTATTAGTAAAACTAACCGACAACTGCCATTCGATGTATAGCAATTATCCCACAACCAATTTCGGTTATGGCAAATTTTGGTTAAGCATTTTTATTAACCTACTTAACAGACAATGTTAATTGAACAGTAACAATTGTTACTGTTAATTGGCGAATTTTTCTGTACCGTTATGATTACTGGATCATATGAAAGACTCTAGCTAAAATGTTGGTTGCTTAAATATCACTCGATGATTCATCCTCCTCCCCATGTATACTTTTACTCAAATCTCATTATTAGCCTTTTGCTTTACCTTGCTGCACCCTTATGTAATCTGTCTATAAAGTCCACTATGTAATTGCTTGCATATACATATTCACCTCTCCGCTTCAAATCCACTCGATATGTTTAAAGCTTTGTGATCTGCGTTATCTGATAATAAAATGTGCTTGCCACCTTCTAATTTTAGACGCCGTTGAGATTTATATTATAACTGTTATCGAGGCCATCGACAAACTAAGCAAAGCCATTACAGAATTGATGACCCCGACGTACGATCATGAAACAGACGTGATGATCCCAATGTGCGAACTCGAAGCAAATTTCGACGATATAAATTAATTTCGAAAATTCAACGCTCTCTGTCTCATCTCTGATTATCATCTGGATTATAATCGTATTTGTGGTTATGTTATGTCATTATTTCAATTACGCTGACATTATCTCACGAACATTATCGAACGTAACCATAGTACTCATAACAGATAACGATATTCCACAAACGATTGCTATTTTGGTGCCATTTATTAAGTCCGTTCCATGTTACAAATTATACCATTTACTTTCATCAGTGTTTTTGTTGATCCACTTTTCTCTGTGACATTTACATTATATTCGTGTACTA